GCAGGGAGGCTGTAATTATGCAATCCACTGTGCTCCAGCAACAAACTGTGCTGGAACACACTGGATTTGGTGTGAACAAGCCCTTACACTCAGTTGAGGGCCCGTTCACGCTATCCAGTGCGTTCCCCACACAGTCCCATGGGTTGAACACACTGGATCATATAAACAAACGCTCCTTGCGTTCTGGGGTGGGAGGGGGTGTTGTGGTTCCATTCATGTCAATGGCACTGCAAACATGCCTCCCACCCACACTGGAACGTGTGGTACCACAATGCACTGGGGGGGTGGTTTGTAAAAACTGGTGCAGCTGTGCATGGGAACCAATCAGCTTCTCTCCTCAGTTCAACATTTGAAAATGAGTGAGAGGTGCCGATTGGTTGCCATGCACGGCTGCTCCAGTTTGATAAATTTCCCTCACTGTGTTCTAGTGCAGTGCAATCACACAAAAAATAGTGCATGGCTGATTTTTTGCGATCACACCGCACTGGTACGCAGTGCATTGAGGTACCACATGTTCCAGTGATGGTGGGAGGCATGTCTGCAGCGCCATTGACATGAATGGAGCCACCACGCCCCCTCCCACCCGTTGTGCCTGCCTGATCTGTGGCACAAGAATGTTTATACAGGTGGGACTTGTGGGAGGGGCTTGTATATGGGCGGAGCACAAGGGGGCCCCATAACCATGTATTGCCCGGGGGCCCCATGTGTTGTCAGTCCGCCCCTGGTTGGGATCTCCAAAAGAAGTCCAATAGTGCTGTGGGAAAAATCCACAAATAGGTCCAACAAGTGGAGATCATACTGCATAAGTATCTAAATGATTCAACACCTGACAGAGCGCTATGAAGATAATAAATAATGTTTTCCTTGCATATATGAGAAAGCCCAGTTTACACATGAAAAGCTAGTTATAACTAGCAATATTCACCTGAAAATAGGAAAGGGGAGGACCTACGGAGACTTCCTCAGAAGACCATAGCTCAGTCACAGAAGAGCATTTATCTTCCAGTAAACAGGTACTACAAATGCCTCTGTCTTATACTGTCCCTCTTAGCAGAAATAAGTATCAAAAAAACGGTTTGACTAGCCTGCTGACACTCCATTAAGTAAAGGACCTTCCAGCGATAGATACTTCCTAGCAAGGAAGAACAGGAGCATTCCCATGCTGAATTCCAGCTGTTTAAATTGTTGATGATCAGAAGATAGGATCTGAAAGACAATTTCTTAACTCTAGGAAAGACAGTGTGGTCACGCATTACTCACTCAACTCCATCTAGCAGAGGGAGTAGGTGATCCAGTTTTTAGTAGGGGGAGATCTCTCAAAACTCTCCAGAAATGAAAATCTTGCAGCGTCTAGATGATGTCCCCCAAAGGTCAAATCTGAAGAGTGGCCAACATGGGGAGTACACTAAGGAGTAGGTTAGAGGATACATCCACTAGCAAAGTTCTCTCAGGAAAGGAAGGGGGGTGGACCATTTTCTGCCTGGTCAGAGTGCATTGAATATTACTCCAGCGATAGATACTTCCTAGCAAGGAAGAACAGGAGCATTCCCATGCTGAATTCCAGCTGTTTAAATTGTTGATGATCAGAAGATAGGATCTGAAAGACAATTTCTTAACTCTAGGAAAGACAGTGTGGTCACGCATTACTCACTCAACTCCATCTAGCAGAGGGAGTAGGTGATCCAGTTTTTAGTAGGGGGAGATCTCTCAAAACTCTCCAGAAATGAAAATCTTGCAGCCTCTAGATGATGTCCCCCAAAGGTCAAATCTGAAGAGTGGCCAACATGGGGAGTACACTAAGGAGTAGGTTAGAGGATACATCCACTAGCAAAGTTCTCTCAGGAAAGGAAGGGGGGTGGACCATTTTCTGCCTGGTCAGAGTGCATTGAATAGTGTCTGGAACCTTTAGATCTAAAGAGACCAACTTGGCGCCTTGCCGAAAATCCAGATTCCCTGACTCAAGGAATTCCCTAAATCAACCGAACAAAACCATAAGAGGGGCACAGAAACTACTATGCATTAGAAAAAGGGTCAAAAGGTCCATGGTGAGTGGACTTATTGGTCAGGATTTGAGTGGAGCAGTTTCAGTTAAAGATGAGCAAAGATTACTAGCACTAGATCATTGTTAAATATTTGAATCTAGACAAAAACTGCAGAAGATAGGACTGTCTTAGATTTGGACAATCTGCAAAAAGCAGAAGACTACCTGCCTTCAAGAAGGTCTCTTGGGTGTTACGCAATGGGGATGGTGGAAAAAGGAACTAGGGTGGACATAATAATCAGTACTGGGAGAAGGGTCCAGAACTGCTGGGAGGACACTAAAGAGTTTAGTGTTTACTATGAAATGGAGAAGTAATGAAAAGGTGCCTGATTGTCGGGTCTAGAGTATGAGCTACAGGGGGAAACCTGAGCATGCAAGATAAAAGGGGAGGAGAGGCTTTGTGCAGAAAGTTGAACAGATGAGACAAAGGGCTTCTGGCTTCAGTGAGATACAGACTCTGCCTTTGTGCGGCCAACAGTAGTGCAGCTACCATGAACGGCAGTGTGAAGGGCAGGTTCAAAGAGATGCATTTCCTTAAAGGACAAGGCTTTATGTACTGACAAAACCAAACAACAGGTGCTGATGAGGGTCACAGTCAGCCAGACATGAGCAAGTCACTGAAGGTGGGCAGTGAAACTAGACTGGAGACTGGATGATGCACAAAGTGATTTAGAAACATGAGCACCAACTAGCAGGATAGAGCTTTTTCTAGGTTAAATGGTGGAAATAATTGCCAATGCAAAACCAAGTGGATGACGTGAGCACTTAGTTCCCTCAGCCTTAACCATTACCATGTTAAAATGGCACTAGAAGGAACTTTAAAGAGATGCCCAATGATGCAAACTGTGAGGTATGACCCGGGGGCTTCAGCCCAAACAGCCTACATGAGTCTTCAGAGACTGGGTAACACCAGAGTCTGTGCCATAGCTCTAGACCTGGACAGTGCTAAATAAGACTGTGCACAAAGGTCTGGAACGCTTCACAATGCAGAGCCCAGTGTCCAAAGATTACATTCCATGCCCTGAAATCTTTAGTCCAGCAAGGTCTGGGTACGGCCTCCAAAGTTGTTGCTTAGGATATGCTGATCTGGATAGCTGCTGTGTAGAGACAAGCTAAAGCAGTATAAATGAAGTCTTGATACAAAAAACACCAAAATAAAATCTTGATTTCAGAAAAAAAAAAATCAAAAAGGTTAGCAAAACTATAGGTAGCCTCCTAAGACAATAGCAAAAAACTAAGGCATGATGGTTGGAGGTTGATTATATGGGGGGCTGGCGGTGGTATAACCCAACTGTTTAAAAATTTCTTAAACTACATTATCTCTCAATGTACAATAAAGATAAAGCCAAATTTATATTGTGAGTTCTTGCAATGTTTTGCAATTACCCTCACTAGAATTAGCCTTCAATGTCACATTAACACTATTGCAGGCATCATTACACCTGAGAATTAGGATACCGATCAACAAAATTCCAACATCCCCATCTAGTATCTATGGTTACCATTACTACCATTACTATCCAATCGATATAAGTAAAGCCATTATGCAATACAATAAATATAGTATAGCTGGTAAACAACAGCAGCTTGTTTCTAAAATATCTTCTTCAACGGCACCTAGGAGCTGTCAAGGTAGTGTAGAGGCACAATTAATATCTTCCTCAACATGCTGGTGCAAAAGGCAGCAGTTCTTCCCTGCACAGCAAGAGAAGACAGACAGCTGGCTTCAGTGCTCACTGTTACCGTTTCTGTCAGTCTTGCAAGAGGCAACTGAGCAATATTCATGTTTTTTTCTTCTTTTTAGCTACAATGCCACCAAATAGTATAATGTGACATTATCAAATAAAAAAAGGTGTCCCTAATCTGTCCTAAAGACAAGAGCTGGAAAATACCTTCTATACAGTGCAAGGAAAATGTATGTAAATTAGATTATAAAGCAGTTGGCAGCAGCACTTTAAGGCAAAGCTATTTGCATATGCTTGCCATACAATTACACAGTAAAAAGGCAGACACAGCTAAAAGTAAGTTTTCTGCCTTTGCCGACAAATAAAAGCGACACTTTGAAGTGATGCCAAGTACTGCTTTTTCTCAGGTAGGCAGTAGCAGGTACAGCAACAAAATCTAGTCAATTGGGTTAAGGGATCACCAAATGACTGTGTTACCAAAATGGAGGGAGTGCGGTTTGCAGCTTGCTCAGCCTCAGCCCATGAATGAGAGCCAAGATAAGGATCTTTTGCCCCAGCTGGGCCCTACTTCACCACCCAGCACTGCACAGACGTTGCAATTACCGCAGAAAGATTACTGGGGAAAAGTAATCATGAGAATATACCAATCTACACAGACTTCCTAACTGTAAGGGTAAAATGGCACCCACGCATGCGCAAACGCCCAATCTCTGGAAATATGCCATAGTGCAAACGGCTGGTGCACAGGAAGTGATGCAGTTACCTCAATTAGATGACTATATAAGAACGAGCCTGCCTGCACCACATTGCTAATGGTCTTGTCAGCTTATGTTGTCTGTTGCCTGTGTCTCTGTTGGATTGACCTGGATTACCTTGGACTACCCTTCTGCTTGCTGCCTGCCCCTGACCTCTGCCTGTTCTCTGGATTTGCTCTTGCTTGCTGATTTTGTACTTCGCTGTCCAGCTGGACCTGACCTTTTGGCTTCCTCGACCACAATTCCAGTCTCTTGAATCTGCTCCAACGCTGTCCGCCCGGTCTGATCACTGGCCTGCTGACCTCTCTACAAGAAGTCTCTAGCATGATGTCTGCTTCCAACCCATGGCACTTGTGCTCCTCGTTGTCCTGCGGCCTCCTGTTCCAAACTCCAGGGGTTGTAGGACACAAGCCGCAAGAGACGCCTCCTCACCTTCCAGTCTCATCCTCAGGTACGTGATACTAACACACCAGCTTTTCATGCCCAATTAGCAGCTGGGTCTGGCTTTAATGCTCTTACTCAGCTTTATTAAAACTTAAAATTAGTGAAGAACATATCTATATCTATATATCTGCATACCTGTTTTTCAGCGTAAAAAGGACTGATGAAAAACTAACAGTAAGATGATTTATTAGATGTGTTCACACCAGATATTATTACCCTAATGGTGTGAAGCCAGCCTGAATGGGGTCCTTCTAAATTGGTTTAAAGGGAAGTTTTTTTTTTGTTTTTTTTTAATGGAGGGTAGTAGTAAAAAAAAAAAAAAAAAATTAAACCAGGGAAATATAAAGTATTGCATATAAATCATTTGCATTTTTCTATCTAGAAAGCAAGTGGACCTTTTCACTCCCTTTCACATTTTCCAGCTTCTCCTCATATCCTGTTGCTCTGCTGTTTATAGAGCTCAGGAGTTAAAGGTGAATGTGTCTACACAAGTGAATGAACTAGAACAGTAATCTCTTTCACACCCTCTTGCCTTTAGATGGCTCCCTCTAACTTTCAGTCAATGACAAGGTGTAGTAAAAGAAAGGAATTCTGCTGTGTCATCACTTTACCACTTTGGGAATCCTTTGTCAAGTAATAAATATTGAACCAAAACCACTACAGTTTCTGCTTACACATGCATTTCAAAGAGAAGTAAAGCCAAACCTTTTTTTTGGCTCTACTTCTCTTTCATACATTTACTATTGTACTCTTGTGACCTGCCCGCTATATGCTGACAGGCCAGAGATGTACCGCAGCCAGGAAGGATCCTGACAATATTGTTAGAGCCCACACGGCTGCCTGACTGGCAGCTGGCTCTGCCTCTCTAGAGCCAAAGCCAGCTGTAACTGCACATCCCCAGTCTGTCCCTCCAATGAGTGCTGGTGGAACAGACAAGGGAGAGGGGAATCCCTGTGGGGAGAGGTGCCTGATAATCACTGTTCTCTGCAGGGAGAAGACCGTGAGCGGAGTGATCAGCAGTTACATGATCATTCGGCTCTCCCTATGTAGAGCCGGCATGTGACAGTTGCAATGTCCCATGCTGGCTCCAAGTATTGGGAAGAGTATATTTTACTCCTTTAAATGTATCAGCGTACACACATACTACAGAGTAATTATTTCTTACACAGGAAATATCCAAATGTTATTTTCCTGGAGTTTCAGCTTTAAACAGGAAATATCCAAATGTTATTTTCCTGGAGGTCAGCTTTAAACCTGCATCCCATACATGTATGCATTAATGACCAATCAATACAACACATCTGGTCTGACCACAGCTTTAGTGATTGATCAGTTTTGTGTAATGGTACCTACACAGGTGACAATCCTGGGAATATCTTTCGAAGACATGTGCCAATATGTGCCATCACCTCGTTCACATCTTCTGAAGAAGCCATTTTCATGGCTACGTTGTACTTTTCCGTTTCAACTGCCAACTGGAAGACAAATTTTAAGGTGAGTGAGTAGTAGAAGAGTAGGTATAGCTACATATAATAACATATATTGCATTTTGCAATATGAAATGACCAAGTGTCCTCAAATCCACATAACCACAAGCTTGCCACCTTTTTACAATCATGATAACAACGCCACTACAGGATATAGTTATGAAAAGGAAAGCATTATGGCTTGGAAAGGCAGACATTACTGCAAAAAAAGGTTAAAGGATGAAGAAATACTGTACACAGTGTTATAAATGAATCATACTTTTGAGTCCAGATTCTTGGCAAAATGGCCCTCATGTGCACAAGTGCTGGGTCTCCAAACCTGTCCCTTTTGATCACATAGAACTTCTGCCAAAACAGCAAAGGCCATCAGAGTGGCGTTACCTTCATCTGCATGAAATTTCAGGGGCCTTTTTATAACAAGTTCCCCCATCATCCCTGAGAAGGCCAAATATATTTAACTGTTCTGCTGCAAGGGTGCTGGAAACCCTTGCACCAGGATGTACATCACGGACATACATAGGGACTGGTATTTATACGGTCAGAAAATAGGAATGACAATTGATAGATCTGACCCTATAATATTAACTAAATAGGTTTAATTAATTATTCCCATACAATCCTGTGATGACTATAAAAAGGTGCTGCCTACATCAGCCAATGCAATTCTAGTTGTAACTCTCAATCTAGCAAAACTAACAATGTGTTTCCCGTGACTTGACATTTTGACCTCATCACATCACAATATGATATATCATTTTTCTTCATGCTTTACTATAGTCAGTGTTATGATTGAAGTTTATTTTAGGGCTTACAGGTCATGACAACCCTTTGTGCATGTGGATACAATACATTTGTTAGCCAAAAAAACAGACAACCCTAAGTTTTATTTTTTACATAGGAGAATGTAAGATCGTCTAAGCAGGAGTTTTATATCTCATCTCCTGATATGTTCTGTATTGTTAACAATGTTTGCTTATGTACCCTATACATTACTGTACAATGCCGCTGGTGCTATATAAAGAAATGATAATCATTTATATGATACACCCAGTATGTTGGTCCGCTCACATTCTTTCATAAGCTGTCATTAAGAGGGTGTGTATGAGCACTAAGCAGTGATATATAGACTTGTCAAAACAATTTGCTTTAAAATACTGTCTGAACACCTACACGTTACTGCAAAAAATAGCCCTCAACTCAACCTTCACCCAAACATAAAGCCTTCAACACTTGAAGGGAAGGAGGGCGGGGAGGTGAGAACCTTGGTGGTGGTGGGGGGATGTGGTTGTAGAGGTAAGAGCAGTGGACAGAGGAGAAGAGAGAAGAAAAGTAGGGGGTTGGGTGCAGAGGTGAGCTGTGGCTAGAGGAAGAGGGGTGCAGAGGTGACAGATGTGGTGGGGGGTAGCTGGATGTAGAGGTCAATGTTGTGGGGTGGGGCCTGAGTGCAGAGACAAGAGCTGTGGATAGAGGAAGAGGGGTGCAGAGGTGACAGATGTGGTGGGAGTAGCTGGATGTAGAGGTCAATGCTGTGGGGTGGAGCCTGAGTGCAGAGACAAGAGCTGTGGATAGAGGAAGAGGGGTGCAGAGGTGACAGATGTGGTGGGGGGTAGCTGGATGTAGAGGTCAATGTTGTGGGGTGGGGCCTGAGTGCAGAAGCAAGAGCTGTGGATAGAGGAGGGGTGCAGAGGTGACAGATGTGGTGGGGTAGCTGTACGAAACCGCGCGTCCCGCAAAATATTCCGAGCACAATTTTAGGGGCGGATTCAGCACGTTTGTGGCTATAGTAATAGCCGCAAATGTGCAGAATCCGCGTGTATGTAAAACAATTGCGCGCTTTCATGCCGTGTGGTTATCCGCATGGAACACGCAAACCCATATGGTAATGGAGCCTCAATGGTAATGGACCAGTAAAGGTTTAGAAAGCGCTGCATATGGACAATTTTGGGTAATGTATTTTTTGCCCATTACAGTTTTAAGGCTTCACATGTTTGGTATCAATTTATTCGACACAACCTAATCTTTTATACTTTACACATAAATTGGGCTTTAGATTGTATTTGTGTGCACTAAAGTTCATTTGTGTTTTATTTCCTGAAGATATAGATTTGATGAACAATTGTGCAGACATAAAAAAATAGAAACTGTCACCTCTGCTTTTTAAGTAATTTTCTAGCAAGCAATGCAGATTTTAGCATGTGGGTAAAAATGTCTCTGGATGCAAATAGTTAAGGGCTTGCAAGATGCAATATATAACATTTTTGTTACTAGGTTTAGATGCAATTTAACCCCCCCAAACCTTCATCCACTACCAATATATTGGATACAATATATATACCTAACCTCTAACACCAAACAGGAGCATACTTACTGTAACAGGAAAGCATTAGCACAATCCCACGTTATGAGCTTATTACTGAGGACTTCTAATCTGACATGGGAGTTAGTACATTACAGCTTAATCCCCCTATTATGTACACATTCTAAATTGGAAAGAATTAAGTGTGACCCCTTTGTTTGGCTTTGTAATGGCCACCATTGTTGGACAAGTTTGAAGGCTGGCCGAAGGCTAGCCTGGATTTGTGGGAGGAGCCTGTGCCTTTAAAGTCGGCACGGCTCACAGGGGATCCACGTCGGCGGGTCACGAACGTCCCCACCCGCCCATTCCCCTTGCTTTCATTCATTTAATTAATTATTGGGGGGGAGAGGGGGGTCGGCAGGGTATCACTTATTTGTTGAGGCTCGGACCACAACTTGGAATTCTGCTAGAATAGCTCATCATTTAAACCAAAACAAATATAAGAAGCTGACGTGTGCTAGTTTTCATGAAAAACAGAAATATCAATTTCAGGTGCAGTTGGATTTTAATACACAAAATGAGAAGTTAGTGGTATACTATTTTGTGAGATTGGTTTAGAAAAAGTTATGAAAAACATGGCATTAATGGAAGGTAAAAAGACAACTAAGAGAGAGACAATAAGGAGAGAAGCATTAGGGAAGAAAGGAAGGAATTGCCATTTTAAGGCCGTACCTTCAGTCTTGCACAAGTCTACAGGCTTCTCTCCTGTACTGAAATTGTTTACTCTGATTTCACTGCACACTGTGAGCTTCTCATACTGTGTATTAAAACCTGCAGCTAGACAGAAAGGGCCCAACTCATTTCCAGGATGGAGGATGACCAGCATCATCTAAGCTCTTTCCTCTCCAGCCTGTTCTTTCAATCATGGAGGCTCAGCATCACTCATGGTCAAAGCTTAGGAAGGTCTGCATGCAAATGTCCCACCCATCAAAGCATTTTGATATGCGCATGACGTCTATCAAGAGCCAACCAATTTCGTGCAACAGAGCTGATGGTTCTTGAAAGGAGTACTGATGCAGGGTCAGCACCCTGCTAGCCCCTTCCATCAGCAATGATCTGCATGCATGGCATAGAGAACCACAGACACGCAGTGATAACATCACTGGATCTAAAATAAGTTATGCAAAGAAAACAAGTTGTTTTGTTTTTTTTAATGTATTGGCATATTGATGGGGAAGGGGTCATAATTGCAGCAAATAAAACTTTATCTATGCATAGAGATCACACAAATAAAAAATCACTTATATATGTCACATATACAGTATAATAATATTAATAATCATCATTATTAATTTAACTGCAAGATTCAGCCTATTGACAGGCAACACCAGAAAATGACACAAATGACAGTAGCAGGGAGACATATTTGCATGAGTATTACTGATAGAAAATTCTTTTGATTCCTATTCTCCAATTGCTTCAGAATGTGAATTTGTCTAATACTATCCTTTCCCATTAAACCACAACTTTGGACTGTGATTGAAAAAATAAAAAAAAATAAAAAAATATGTACAGCCCAATACTAAAAGTAGATACATTGTAACACACATATTACAGACAGAACACATATGTTACCCCATTAAGTGAATTTTCTTTTCCAGAACTTGACTGTTTGGTGTGTGTAGATCTCAAGCTATAGAAAAGGATTTGAAACCCTATTCCAAATACATAGATCATTGACAAAGGAAAGCTTTGAGTGCTTTGGGCTCCACAGCCGGTTCATATATCACACAGAAGATCCCCAGAGATGTAATTAAAGAATAATGTATAGGGGATGTGCCCTGCTTTACACTATAAGTGTAAATTTATTTGAAGTTATTTTCAAGAAAACTATTCCCTTGGTCTGCATTTATCGTCACCAAATTCCACATTTCTAAAGAAAAGTCAGTGTGTATATATGACAAATTTCAAACGTATATTCCAGTTTCTTGCAACTTTCAAATGCCAGGAAGCTGATCTGAGACATTCATTGAACCACAGCTATTGAAGTAGCGAAAAATTTCATAAGATCTAATATAACCTTTAACATGCAATACTTTAGAATGCATGCAAATATTTCTGGCTATATTATTACGTTAAGCTCCAGGCTAGGAAAGCTAATGATTCCACTAACGCATTTATATGTATGCGGATTAAGGAATATTTTTGGTGTTCTATTCAAAGAGATCAAATACAATTTAAATAATTAAACAAGGAAAGATACATCCATGACAAGCCAGCCACACACCAGAGTGTAGCTATGATCAATATTTATCTGAGTGTAGATATATGGATTTGGATGGGAAATGCAAGGGATTGAACTTGCCCTGCTTCATGCAGTATATTGGTGTTTTTTTGGGTTTTAGCGTTCTAAAGGTATCTGAAAGCAGAAATGTCACACGCAGCACCTAGATTTCTGTACCAGTGCATGTTAGAAAATGAAAAAGAAAAAGATCTGCCTGCCATAGGTAAAACGATAGACCTTTTAAATGTATTAATGAGGCTTCTGGTCTTTTGGAGGGGTTGTGCACCTAGTGTTTGTTTTAACTAAGCAACTATCACAAAGTCGGCATCCTGGTATGTTAACCAGTCAAAGCGACTACAGGAAGACATTCTAAAAGAATTACTTTTAGCAATAATATAATAAAGCCAG